TAGAGCAATTAAAAAAGGAAAGAAGAAGAGGCAGAGGCCGGCGTGGTGCCAGTTTCCCCTCAACCACTACTCTAACCCAAAACCCTAAGTGTCTATATGCAAACCTTGGGGGGTGGGCACAGACACAGGAGGTGAGAGTGGTGCCATCCGACCACCTATAGCCATGAGTGCCCACCATAAGTTCCTATATGTGAATTTAATGAAAATGTTACGAGTGAATGGTAAATGGTAAATGGACTGTACTTATATAGCGCCTTTCTATCCATCAGGGACACTCAAAGCACTGCAGACATTCACCCATACACACACACACATTCACACACTGATGATGGCAAACTACAATTGTAGCCACAGCTGCCCTGGGGCGCACTGACAGAAGCGAGGCTGCCATACACAGGTGCCACCGGACCCTCTGACCACCATCAGTAGGCAAGGCGGGTAAGGTGTCTTGCCCAAGGACACAACGACTGAGTCGACTGGATGGGAATTGAACCGGCGACCTTCCGGTTCCAGGTCGACTACCCTAACCACTCTACCACAGCCGCCCCATGTCTAATGTCTAAGATGTACAATAAAATTTGGGGCCCAGGTGGTTATGGCAAATAGAAATGTAATATTGTTGCTCTTATAACACAACTGTGCCACAAAAAAACCCTACATGGATGAAGTTGAAAGTGAAGAGGGTGGAGGTGTGCGGTGAGGGATGGGGCGAATAAGCTGAAGGAGCAAAATGCCCCCACAGGGAATCAGCTCCCCAGCTGGCCCCAGTAAGCCCTCCCTTTCCCCGAAACCCACCCGGGAAGAGCAGCCCAACTACCTCTCCCTCCAGGCAAACTGCCAAGCCCACGGAACCCCAGACTATGGACTGACGGAGCCCCGAAGGCCAGCAGAAACTGGGACCAACACCCCCCCAGAGCCACCCAGACCCCCAAAACTCGACCCCAGCCCCATAGCCGCCCGCCGCCCAGAGAGGGCACCTTTCCCCAGCAAGGACGACCCGGCCAAGAGCGCCCACCCACCCTCTGACAGAGCAAGGGGGCACCCAGGGCGGGCCCCCGCCACAGCAAAGGGGCCAACCAGCCGGCCCAGCACGACCCCCAGCCACCACCAAAGGCCACCAACCCAATCCCCACCCCAGAAGACATACTACACCCACCCCAAAATTCAGGCCACTATCAGAACATATAACACAAAGACACCCAGGCTGGGTAGACCCCCCCATGTCATGCCCCCAGCCAACCCTACCCCTCCAGCCCATGAGAACTGCAGACCATCAGCGCACCAGAGGCCCCCAGCCCAGAGCCAGGCACCAGGGCACACACCGGCCCAGGGCC